TTTCAGGAGATTATAAAGGACATTAAAGCAAGCCAATTTTGCCAATAAACCCGTGTCCGCAAATGAGCCGTTTTGGCACTAGAGAATCAAAGACTAACAAGGGTAAAAATCTTTGAAAAAAATTATTTTTTCATGGATGTATATAATAAAAAATTATTTTTTTATTAATGTGCTTAAATAGAGGTGTTTTTACTATGAAATTTTTGTATAAAACATTTTTTGATATCTCGAATAATTTTTGAGATATATCGAAAAAAGCAAAAAGCCAATCTACATACGAGGGGTGATTTTACCCCGTTAGAATCGTTTTTGGGCCGCAACTGGAAATTTCTAAATTTACCTGATTCTCTCTCACCCCCTACATGTGTAAAGTTTCATCAAAATCAGAATTTTCAGGTTCGCGAGTTTCTCTTGTTAATCTTTGATTCTCTAGTGCCAAAACAGCTCATTTGCGGATACGGATTTATTGGCAAAATTGGTTTGTTTTGGTGTCCTTTATAACCATCTGAAGTTTGTCGATCTAATTCTGGGACACCCTGTATATAACTTGATCGTCTTCAATATTTCTGTAGTACATAAAGATCATTCTATACGTTAATAAAAATGCAAAATTTTAACTACCTGAAGTTTGTCGGTCTAATTCCGGGACACCTTGTATAGTTTCATTCTGTATCCCATAACGTTCAGTTTTCGTCCAGAGGTCGCGTTGTAATAGCAACAATAGAGATTTTAAGTATTTTCATGGATCGCATCGCGTATATACGCGTATGAGTTATTAATCCGAAACTCAACGCGCGCGCGATATATCGTTTACGCGCTCGTTATTCTCGCTCGTGGGGAAAGGCAGCTATCGCGTTAACACATTACGCGGAATTCTTATAGCGGCTCGACATAGCCATTTGCGCGATGCGACACGCGATTACAAGTAATTACAGCTCGCGCGTGTCATGAATATTTACGAGCGTAGTTTTTAAAGTTTCACGTTTAGTCTAGAGCACGTTAGGATACATCGTATCGGGAACAGCGATTTCTCGTTTACGCGAGTTCAATATTGCGAATAAATTTTTAAATATGCGCTAGTATACGTGAGATGCATAAAAGTCCGACAAGAATAGAGATATGTATATTGCAGCCAATGGTGGCAAATTTGATTTAAAAAGGTTACCTAGGAAACAGATATGACATTTTCATCTTTATCCGATAACTATACGCCGATCTAATATGTTTTTCATTTCATTACTTGTAATTGACATTCTTTGTGGTATTTTATGCACCCATAAAATTGATCCTACCGCTTCTTATAATAAAGATGCTTGGTTATAAATAAGGCATTTCCCTTCTCTTCTTTATGGATACTAAATATTAAATCAGGAAGATTCGCTCCAAAGCTCAACTTGCTTATTAATGAATTATACGAAGATAAAGTGAGATATATTTGAATTAAGAGTTGCAGATGTGCATCTTGAAATCTTATTTAGTATTTAATCTCAATTAACTGTCTAATTTGAAGCTGTTAGTAAGACTTGAAAGAAGTCAATCTATTTGGGATAGAATTGGTATTCGCGATTATATATTCTCACTTCAATCTATTTTAAATTTGCAGAAAAGAGAGAAAGTGCATTAGAGGCAAAAAGCGCAATTGCCGTATACAATATCCAAACATATCCACTTATTGTTAGCTTTATCATCATTTGCACAAATTGACAATCTTTCCAGACGAGTCGATCCAATTCGGACCTAACCTCCTGAATAAAAAAACTCGAGTCATTAAACCTTGGCGAAAATATCTGTTCCGCGATATCTGTTTCGTGATGTGATACCGTATCGATGTTTCGACGCCGCGAATTATTCATATAACAGTTAGCGTCGCCTATTCCGCGGTATCGACACACCCGCTATTATTTCACATTAAGTCGTTAGCTCGGTCGCGGTCCCCTGGAACGAACAAGAAAATCGCGTGTCCTATCGTAAACTTCCGCTTCCCCCCCCCCCCACCCTCTCCTCCCTTTCTCGGGTATAGTACAAAGGGCCGTTCATGATAGACCGATTGCCCGGTAATGGTTCGCTCCGTAATTCTGCTTGTCGTTCGCGTCGTGCGCTAGTCGCAAATTGAAATTCACGATGGCCGCCAGACCAAATGTGCTCGCGTTCTCCCTCCCTTCCTCACTCGGCACTCATTCGCTTTTCAGCGCTTACGGGTCCGTAGCGATACGATAAGCGAGGTAAGTGCGTGAATAAATGCCGTCGAAAAATGCGGAAATTAAAAAAAAAAAGAAATAGTTGAAAATACATGAAAAAATATTTAAATGAGGTACGAAATTAAAACTAAAAACTGATGATAGCAAACTTTTAAACAGGGTATCTATTACCTGGAAAAAAATGGAAAACCTAAAATTTCTTCCAGGGATTTCTTCTGTATCTGGAAAAATCAGGGAATTGTTGTGGAATTTTATTGGGATTTAATTTCTTTAAAAAAATCTTTTATCTGATAATTTTGCTCTTATATTGTAAACAGTCGGCGCGAGCCAAGTAAATTATATATTTAAAATATATTACAAATATATATTATTCCTGGTCTTTTAGAACGAATACATAAGATACCACGATATATATGCTGAAGAAGGTCCGAACATAGGACCGAAACGTCCAATAATAAAACAAGAGACATACGGAAAATTAATCTGCGCATTTCTTACCGCGCTAGGCTCCTAATTAGCCATTATTTATTCAGATATTAAATATCAGAACCTTTAATTTAACTATATATTTATGTGTTTTTTTATATGTTCAATTTCTTAATAAAATATTAAATATACAGTACATACTCTTTAGTGAAATTTTTAGTGATAAAAAAATGAAAATTTTATGTGCAAATGAAAAATGCTTATCTTACGAAAGTTATACAATTTTTTTTTTTTAAATTCTTATTTTCTAGTACGTTATCACACATATTTTATTCTTTATTTCATAAGGATGGAAATCTATTTATGTATACATTTACGAATGTAGTACTTGAAACTTAAGAGACTCTCTGTTTTTCCTTCGTATGAATAAAAAACATTACCAAATGCATGTAATAAAAAAAACATATATTAGAAAGTTGCACCAAAAAATCTTTAAAATATTTTCTTTACTTGGAATTTTGAATAAAAATACCTGGAAGATCAGGGAATTTTCAGAGAATTTTTTTACAAGATTTGAGTAAATACTCTGTTAAAGAACGATAAATACGAGACTCTCCATTCTTATGCGAAATAACGGGCTTATAAAATATGCGTAATAATATACTAGAAAATAAGAATTTGGTGAAAAGGGAAAAGCTATAATATAAATTAATTTACATACTGTAAATATTAGAATCATATATTATATCACGGAGATTGTAACGCTTGCGTTGAGCTGTTTTTAATCACTGTTTTGTGTGAAAAACGTACTTGTGTAAGAAGACATTTGAGTGATGTATCGCTGTTCCCGTGCAGCTCGCGAGGCGTGCAATTGTCGCCGAATTAAATTCGAAATTAGCGCTTGTTTATCAACTCCCGCTGCGTCATTTATCTTGAATATTTACGTTTCGCCGGGAAACGAAATAACCGTGCGCGACTGCATTAATTATGCGCGACGGTATGTCGCATATTTTTCGTAGAGGGATGAGTTTCATACATTTGCCATATAAACAGAATTCGATTTTCAGCGTTTGACCCTGTCAATTTTGCGAAAATCCCCCGAGATATTTGGATGTAACGTAACCGCTCGATGGTTTCATTTTGACGGTAAAGGTAGCCCGTATATACAAGGTAGCTTGTTTTTATTCAATGTAAAAATTTGTTGATATTTGTTTGTCGCATTTCTTGCGACATCGAACACATAAATCGACAAATCTTCTACTATTGGTCGAATTTAAAAACGTATCGTACATGATTGAAATTATTGAAAGCGTCGGGGTAAATAAAGCCTCGAGCATGTATACACGCACACAGAGGTATTCCGATCGCGATGAATTTTCGCGGGACATGGAATTGATTTCTCCCATATCTCGTCTGTGTCTTGGAAATGGAAACGCTGGAAAAAATCTAGATCATATCCGAATTCGGCTCGTTTACGGGCGCGAAGTTATCCATGGCTCTGGCGCTATCCGACATTAATGACCGACCTTTATTTGCATATCGCGTTTAAGCTGCGCGAAGCGTTATTCCGCTATAATGCCGCCCGCCGCGCGTATATACTTATCATCTTTTACGACACCGGGAATATAACGTTTGTGTCGGAAATATACTCTGTATCTCATAGTCGAGTCAGGATATCTACTCCCTGGAAAAACCTAGAAAACTTGGAAAATTCTCAGGGATTTCGTTTTTATCGTGAAAAATCAGGGAATTTTTATGGAATTTTATTCGAATTCAAGGAATTTTTTCGAAAATTTTCTCTTTGATCATTTTTTTTCTTATATTGCAAGCATCGGCAATCTGATTAGCCAATTGTGAATTATATGTTTCAAATATATGATTATATGTTCATTGCCATAGCAAAAAACATTAATTACACAATACTGAGTACACAATTTTTACTGTAATTCTTATAATTAATGATAGAAAATGAAAATATTATGCAAATGAAAAATGCTTATCTTACAAAAATCATTTAGTTCTTTTCAGTACATTTTTAAATTTAATATTTAAAATTTAAGTGGTTTATTTTTCCTTTGTATGAATAAAAAGCATTAGAAAACACAGACCAAAAAAAAACTTATTTGAAAAAGTTCCATCTAAAAATTCTCTAATTTTACCTGGAATTTTGAATAAATTACCTGAAAAGTCAGGGAATTTGCAGGGAATTTTTTTACAAGCTTTGAATAGACATCCTACAAGTTCTTGGCTTCAATTTCTCTCGCGCGAGATTGCAAAATATATTGTACATTAGACTTGAGCGCAAACAAAACCTTCGTCATCGTTATCGCGCGATGCGGTTTCCCTGCGCGGCATTCAAACGATCTGTAATTACAGGTGCGATTCCGGAAAGATGATACGCGACTACCTGATACTGCTCTCGTGGCTGTGCGCGGTGCAAGGAAAGACAGGTAAGTACATTGAGTTCTTCTCTCTCTCTCTACGGGCAATAAATTATTGTACTTTGCATATTCGCAGCGCGTAATTTTGCGTTTTTTTCTATGCACTATAGTCGGTGCAATTTTTAATACCTTCATGAGAGAAGGTATAAAGAGCTATTATGTATATTGTAGCGGCTCATCCGATGCCTTCGGGCACGGCAATCTGGCTATCGTTTGGCGCCGCCAGAAAATCTACCCCGCGGCGCGAGAGTTTCTCGAGAGAAAAATTTCCGAGCAAGGAAACAACGGCGGGCAGGTTCGAAACGAGAGCAACGTTTCGCTTTAGATGCAGTCGAGAGATTGAAGTATGCTTCAAATGCATACGCTCGATTCTTGACGATAAAATTACAGAAATTACAATTGAAGAATGAAATGATCATTCTTTCACTGATTTCATGATTGTCGTCACAACCGTCGCAAACAAATTATCGATTTTGCTATTTGAAGGTTTTTATCAAAGCATTGTTACATTTATGAAAGACACTAATAGTCCAAAGTTAAATCCATCGATATGCATACACGAATAAAGGAACGTAATGTAATAACTCTCTCGTTCTCTCTTCTTTATATATAGTAAGCTTAAAATATTTTTTATACTCTCTACCAATTTCCTGTACAATATTCTTAGTACCTTTTTGATCGGCAAAATTTGCGTTTTAAATTCGATAGCAAAGAGACAATTAAAAATCTACTATAGTGCATTAAAAATACATGTAAGTTTTCCTTTAAAACAGAAAGTGCAATTACGAAGTACTGTCATAAAAGCTTGCAACAATGTTCTTTACTTTCCTGTTATTTTCCATAGTCGTTATTGTTTCCAAGATGTAATCGGCCTCAATTTCATGAGTTTCCGTATAGCGGCTTTGCCTAGTGACGAAAAATTTGCCACGGCACATTTGGGACAGCGAAAATTCCACCTGCGCAACGAGTTTCGCGATGTACATCGCAGCGTTTTTTCATGTAGACATGCGAATATGATCCCTATGTTTATTTGTGACAATGGAAGCGCAGCAATTGATGTGAGATATATATTTTTCCATACTACGGTAGCAGAAAATTGAACTCGTCGATTATACCGGTTTTAATTGTTGGGATATTTTGACTGGGCAAATTTTACAGGAGGCAAAAGAGAGAGAGTGTATTTATTTAAAGAGATATAAAAAGCTATTTATTTAAAAGAATAAAAAAAAAACGACGTATCCAATGAAAAAAAAAAAAAAAAAACGTGTAAACTAAGTCTCTTAATAAACATGGATGATATTTGAAATTTCGCGTCGCTCTGCACTGTCAAATAAGTTATTTTTATTCCATGATATATTCGTCACGTATTATCTTTTTGGAATACGCGATTCTATCGAAGCCAGACTGCAGTATTCAATCGCGTTACAAGCGCCGAAATATACTATTGACTCGATGTTAAAAATTTTGGTCGTAATTCTGGCGAAAAGTGCTCGGCGTTTTTCATTTTTCATTAACCTCGATCACAATCACGATAAAGAGAAGTTCTTTGCCTTGTAGGATATTTCTGGCATATCACCGACATCCATTACGACCCAAAATATTCTACGCAAGGAAGCACCACCAGCAGTAAGTTATCAATTTAATGATTTATTTCTGATTTTGCAAGAAAAGCTTCCTTTTTAACTTTATCAAGAAATTAGAATATATTTGGATTATTTTTTTATTTTTTTATTAATTAAAGCATTTTGCGAGAAAAAATAATTTGCATGTGTATGCTGTACAAATGTCTGATTTCTACAAATGTAGAGATTTCAAACAACTTCTCCGAGTGTGATTTCAACGTGTTTGATTTTCACTCAAATATGACTAGGACTCGCCATGGAGGTCGATCACGTAGATGTTAGTGAATTTTTTTACATTTTTATCTTATTCAATCACTCATACAAATCTCATTTTATCAAATCTTATTATTTCTTCGAAGTCACGACATCACGATTTTGCGAAATTCGCGCGAAAATTTTCACTTTTCGCTTTTCCGCTCTTAGGGAGAATATACGTGATCGACCTCCCGATGCGAAACCCGAGCCTTGATGTTACCACCCAGTGTTGCCAGATGCCTCGAGGTATAAACTTTCTCGAGCATTTCATAAAAATTCCTGCACATTTATTAGTGTATTTTGTGAAAATTTCCATCAAAGACTTTATATTCTCTAAAATATGTAATGCAAATATACTTTTTATCCTTTTCTCTTACTATACATTTTTTATCTTATTACAAACGTTTAATGGCGAATGTTTTGATTCCGGAGTTAAAATTTATCAAGGAAGTCTCTTGTGAAAAATTATTACATACATTCACACACACACCATTAAAGTAACATTTATCTGGAATTGAAATGCATACATTCATTTGTTTGCATTCATAAAGAGGTTAATTTACAAGGAATCCTATATTTAAAAAAAAGAAAATTTCATTAATACTTGAATATTTTTGTTAAAGAATAATAATCATGAAAAATGAATTTAGATTATATAAAGCCAAAGAATCGCGATAATATTCCGAAATGTTTAATCGATATATTTGTTTTACGTTCATATAGGGTGTCCCAAAGTTACCGCACCACTTACTAATGCCAGATTCTTGAGATTATATGAAGACGATTTTTCTTCAGCAAAAATATCAAAAGGTTATTATTTTTTGCAAGTTTCCAATTTTTCCCATCATATATCTTTGTAACTAAGCCTTAAATTAAAATTCCCTCTTTCTGTTAAAGTAAACTCTATCTGAAATTAAGTAAAGAATGTAATTTTAATTCTCTTTATATTATTATAATATTTATGTTATATATTATTTCTCCGAAGACTTTTGTATTAATGTACATTTTTCATTTCGTAAAGAGAACTTGCATGTGACTGTCTTACACATTTAGCATGCGACGGATCAAGCTTTAACGAATACACGCCCCCGTTTCGTTATACACTTCATTTTCCGACGATCGCATGAGCGAATTATTATCATTCCTCTAATAGGAAGGTAAAACTGTTATTTACCGACCCTAAAGCCCTCCCTTCCCCGCACTGGTATTTACCGAGCTTTAAAGTACCTAGCGTGTTCGGCTGGCACGGGGCACGCTAGCAAAATAGCGACGGGTTACAATACCGTGAACCTACCCTCCCTCTTTTCCTCCCTCGTTTATTTGACCTACCGCTATCGTCTTAAGCCTCGTGTCGCATGAACGTTAGCGAGACGACGACGATGACGACACGAGCCTTAAGCGCAACCCTGGCCGCACCCCGTTTTGCGCTCCATTTCGCGAGTTCCCACGAACGACCTTTTCTCGTGCGCGTGTCCCGTTTACCATCGCCAATGTGTGCTCCAGTGTGCTGGAACACGAGAAACAGCCTCGACAGCGGGCGGTTAAGACTCGACAGAAAACTGGCGGGCGAGTTCGGCGACTACAGCTGCGATTCGCCCTGGGCCCTCATCGAATCGGCGGCGCGGGCAATGAAATCGATGCACGGCGAAGGGATCGAGTTTGTCCTGTGGACGGGGTAGGTGAAACCTTTACAGTACAACGGTGTTTGACAACACAATTTGGAAATTTGTGTTTTCTTCTTAAAAGATATGCCGGTTAAATATTTAATACATTTATGTGTCAATTTAACATATTGCTGTTGTCTTAATTGAACTCAAGTGTTAAATTATTAAAACAACTGAAAAAGTGTAAGAATAACACAATATGCACCTATTTTTAATTTTACACAATAGATATGTTCCGTATTATTAATGACAGGATTTGTCTGTTAAAATTTACAGAAAAAAATGTTGATTTTATTCTACAATAGGAGCGAGAGTGACTACAGACCGTCAATAACATTTTTCCAAGTTAATTTTATCATTAAAAATATGTTGATTTTACACAAAATTTATTTCAAATTACTTTGAGGTTTGCATTTATTTTGTGTTAAAATATTACCATAGTATTAGTGTCACCATTTAACATATCCATATTATGTTAAACTAACAAAATTTGTGACGATGAAATTTGGGATATGTGATATCTGTTAAATTTATAACACAAATTTTTTAACTGTGAAAAATTTTCATTGACGACGTTTTATTAATTTTTTCATTTTTTTAAATAAAAAGGGTATAAACAGAAATTAATCGAACATGATATCATAATAATTACGCATTATATCTTTCGGTTTTTGAATTTATCGTTGTATCATTTATGAGTATTTATTGTTATATCATTATCGTTTTAAATGCATTTTTTTAGCTCATTATCGTCGACATTACTGTTGTTTTATCAATTATTATTATTACTAATTTATTTTGCACGTTTGAAATTTATGAAAATATTCAGTGCCTTTACAATAGTCAAACAGGATATATGATATGCTACCGTTAATAACGATTGTTGTTAAATGGATCATTAACGTATTGTAATTTATTCACGAGGTCTCATTTATTATCAATAAAATCATAAACAAGATCCAGTTTGGGGGAATGGTGACTTGTTAATTCAGCTAATAACGCGATTATTATGCGTTGGATTTATTACTGTTAAATAAATTATTTTACGAACGATTTATTCTCTCTCTAGTCGGAGGTGCACGACTTCCAATTAATTATTGGAAAGCGAAGAATACACAGTTCCACTGACCGGTATAAATATATCGCGTCCACTACCGATGACTTTCTAGCCACTTAGCGCTGCACCGTCGCACAATTATCGAGAAGCATAAATGTATAAAAGGAATACGAGTAGCAAATGCTAAAAAATGATATACGATATGAATCGTTCATTAAAAAAATTGCGTGACTCCAATTGTTGGAATGCTATAAATTTCAAATTCGTCACGCATTAATATCGATAGTACTCGCAACGAAATTTCTTTCACTATTTTAATCTGAATTCGATTCGCATCTCATCTCACATATACAGGCTGTCCTAGAATTCGATCGACAAACTTCAGGTTATAAAGGACACTAAAACAAGTCAATTTTATCAATAAACTTATGTCCGCAAATGAATCGTTTTGGTATTACAGAATCAAAGACTAACAAGGGCAAAAATCTTTAATGTGGTTAAATAGAGGTGTTTTTGCCATGAGACTTTTGTATAAAACATTTTTTGATATCTCGAATAATTTTCGAGATATATCGAGAAAAGCAAAACGCTGCTCTACATATGAGGGGTGATTTCACCCCTTAGAATCGTTTTTGGGCCGTAATTGGAAATTACTAAATTCATCTATTTACTTTCCCTCCCCTCTCTCTACATGTGTGTAAACTTTCATCAAAATCAGAATTTTCGAGTTTGCGAGGTTCCTTTGTTAGTCTTTGATTCTCTAGTACCAAAACGGCTCATTTGCGGACACGAGTTTATTGACAAAATTGATTTGTTTTGGTATCCTTTATAATCATCTGAAATTAGTCGATGTAATTCTAGGACACCCTGTATAATCGTTTTATTCAAACACGTAACTGTACTGTGAAGTGTACTTAAAAATCTTTTATTATTTTAATTTCAAGCCAACTTAGTCAAACATTTTGAGACAACAACATACAAATCTCTCTTTCTATCTTTATATGTAAAATTAAATTAAATTCACTCAGGAGTGACAGTTTGAAATCGCCTTTTAATTTATTTCATGTTTATATCTCCAGGATATGCTACTCGTATCGTTTTGCATCAATTTTCTCCAGTTTCCGATTGTCGAGACGCGACGAAGTTTTATCAGTTATCAGTTGACGTGGCAATTATCAGCGTTTTGCTCGGGTGACAACGCGCACGTTCGATTTTCCGTCGTTGCCTCATCTCGCCTCGCGTGTCAACATGACGCGTCCTCATTTCGCGATGCGCGCTGTCGTTCTCGTCTTATATTTATCAATGATAATCACTCGCACCCTCTCCCTCATGTTACGCGTAATTAGGACTGTAACGAGGCTGTAACTACTTGTTGCAGCGACGCGCTGACACGCTCCGCCGGAATGAGCGTCGAGCTGCGTCTACAATGTCTCCGGAATTTGACCGATCTGTTGCACCGCACGTTCAAAGGACAATTCGTGTTTCCCGCCCTCGGCCACGAAGACATCGGCGTGAATTACACGCAGCTGGCGACTCTCTGGCAGCACTGGCTACCACCGGAAGCGGTAGACACATTCGTAAAGGGTGAGCAAATATCGCTATTCGCAAGAGGTTACAGAATTTTTAAAAAGCGGCGATTTTATCCAACAGTTTTGTTCCAAATCTCAGTAATATTGTATCTTAAAAAATCTCTCTGTGAGACCGTTTTGTCATGATTATTACGCGGATTGTTTTTACTCAAATAGCTAATCGGGTAATCTCTAAGATAAGTAAGTACGTTGGCATATTATAAATTTAGCGCGTTAAAATTGACAAAGAAAGGTAAGAATGTTATTTCCGGGATCCCTCAATTTGATAGGTCATTTTCATAGGATTTTTTATCAAAAGAACAATGCCGCAAATCACAATGCGCTATGATCCATAATTTCCGAGATATCGATTTTTAAAAAATCGTAGTTATAGCAATACTTCCACCATAATAATTGATGATAATTTTCTGACACCATGTGTATGTTTTATAAAATGTATTCTTAGCAGATTCATTTATTTATGTGTAGAAAAATCGAAAGCATAGGCGGGAGAAAGATTCTCCCCCTACTGCCCCACCCCCGAAAAAATGTGACCTAACCTAACCCATGTCGAGGGGTAAATCTTTATTTTAAGTATTATCATTATTATTATTCTCACTTTACTTATTGTTCTTTATACATATATATATGTTTTCATTTGTTGCATTACGATGCAAAAATTTTGAAATCTCGATATATCTTTTCAAAAAAAAAATTAAAATTTGTTGTATTAAAAATTTTTGAAATCTTGATATGTTTTTTCAAACAAAAAATTAAAATCAAAAATAAGACTAAACGCGGAATGAGCATTATAATTATTATATCCTTATAATAAACTTCCCTTTTTCTCACAAAGATCAAAGTACATTAAGTATCACATTAATTGTCGCAGTAAAGTGTGTATTAAAGAAGGATAGGAAGAGATATATTAACGATAGTTATCGATGTTTTATAATCCGTGTGCAAAAAGAACTTGAAAAAAGGAGCGCAAAAAGATATTCGATTTCGATGACGCGGTCGCGCGTTTATTATTCTCGTATGAAATAACAGAGCCAAAACGGGACACTAATACATTAACAGGTAAATCAAAGAACTATCTCTTCTATAGCTGCCGTGTATCTACTAACAGGCAAGAATGTTATTTCGGGAATCCCTCAATTTGATTGAGGGAGTCATTTTCATAAGATTTTTTATTAGAAAAAGAATGTGCCGCAAACCACAATGCGCTACGATCCATAGTTTTTGATTTTTAAAAGTCGTAATTACAGCAATACTGATGGTAATTGATAATCGCCATAATTGATGGTAATTTTCTGACACCATGTGTATGTTTTATAAAATGTATTCTTAGCAGATTCATTTATTTATGTGTAGAAAAATCGAAAGCATAGGCGGGAGAAAGATTCTCCCCCTACTGCCCCACCCCCGAAAAAATGTGACCTAACCTAACCCATGTCGAGGGGTAAATCTTTATTTTAAGTATTATCATTATTATTATTCTCACTTTACTTATTGTTCTTTATACATATATATATGTTTTCATTTGTTGCATTACGATGCAAAAATTTTGAAATCTCGATATATCTTTTCAAAAAAAAAATTAAAATTTGTTGTATTAAAAATTTTTGAAATCTTGATGTTTTTTCAAACAAAAAATTAAAATTTGTTATGTTAAAAAATTTGATGAAAAATTCTGTAAAAATGACCTCTTACTAAAAATTGTGAAATTGGTAATTGATAATCGCCATAATTGATGGTAATTTTCTGACACCATGTGTATGTTTTATAAAATGTATTCTTAGCAGATTCATTTATTTATGTGTAGAAAAATCGAAAGCATAGGCGGGAGAAAGATTCTCCCCCTACTGCCCCACCCCCGAAAAAATGTGACCTAACCTAACCCATGTCGAGGGGTAAATCTTTATTTTAAGTATTATCATTATTATTATTCTCACTTTACTTATTGTTCTTTATACATATATATATGTTTTCATTTGTTGCATTACGATGCAAAAATTTTGAAATCTCGATATATCTTTTCAAAAAAAAAATTAAAATTTGTTGTATTAAAAATTTTTGAAATCTTGATATGTTTTTTCAAACAAAAAATTAAAATTTGTTATGTTAAAAAATTTGATGAAAAATTCTGTAAAAATGACCTCTTACTAAAAATTGTGAAATCTTGATATTTTCTCAAAAAAAAAAAAAAAATAAATAAATAAATAAAAAAAAAAGAAGACTGATATCTCAAAAATGAATGATCGTAGCATATCGTGGTTTGCAGCATTTTTTTTCTCGGTAAAAAATCTATCAAATACATCTATCAAATTGAGGGATTCCAAAAATAACATTTTCCCCCAAAGAAACATTACCGTTCTCCGAGAGATGCATAAATGATCGACGAACGAGATTCGCGCCGCTCTTTGATTCGAAACGAGCGCAAGGGGTCGATGCAATATTTATGGACACCTTCTATCTCTCTCTGAAAATGTGTTACGGCACAAAGTAAGCTTATTGGCGAGCATAAATTTGCCTCCCCCTCGGGGGCTTTACCGCAGCGGCACTATTCAAAATTTGTTGCAGCCGGCTACTACACGATCGAGCAGCGCTCGAAAAAATATCGGATCGTCTTCCTTAATACGAATTTGTGGCTGAACCCGGTCGACAATCGTATGCTGCACCGTGTCGGAAGTAGCACGGTCGATAACACGATGGATCCCTTCGGCCAATGGTCCTGGTTCCAGTCGGTGCTAGAGAATGCGCGGAAGAAGAAGGAAACGGTAGGTTGATGCTCCGATATATGATATCATTGCTCTTCTCTCCGAATGCGCTATTATTGCGGTGCGTCGGACGCATTCTTTGTTTCCGTGTATCCCGCCGATATATATGGCGGCGAAATAATCCCCGGCATCGCCATGGTATCGACACGAACGATCTTTATGGATGTCTAACAAGAAAGTACCGTTGAAGAGAGAGAGAGAGCGATAAAAGCAAATCTTGCGGCTCGAACGCGGATAGATTTTTTTTTATTTGTATTAATTTTTAATTTTTGTATAAATTTTTAATTTGTTATATTAATTTTTAAGTTTTAATTTTTCTATTAATTTTTTATTTTATGTTTTTTGTATTATATTATTGGATATATTTTTTTTTTCGATATTGGAAATAAATAAATTTTGTATATATAGCATAAATTTTTATTTAATTAGCTCAACTTTTTAATATCATTATTTTTGTAAGAAATTACAACAACTTGTACAAACATTTTGTACAACTGTTTTCGATTAAAATATTTATATAATTTTTTATTTTCAGTTGGCGTAATTTTTTGATATTATTTTTATAAGATTTTTATAAGATATATGTAGGAAATTAAAAACTATTTTGTACACAATAGAGATTAACGTCAATGAAAGGAGACGCGAGCGAAAATCAAAGATTCGATAATAATTCAATCGCGTCTCTCTTGATTCTGTTTTGGATATTCCGTCCAATAATAGAATTTTTGTCTTTTAATGTCGTAATATTTTGATACAATGATATCGATTGATTCCGAGATCGTCGAACTCTTCGACGAACGTGAAATTAAATTAAGCGGAAATACTCGACGAGACTATACTTCGTAATTCGATTTCGAAACGAATATCGATCACGTCGACGTAAAGGTCGCGTTGAAATTTTTCATGCTCGTTCTATCACGCATATATGTGTGTATACGTGTTCGCGTGCGTGCATGATGTAGAGAAAGATAATTTGAGGCGAAGAACTTTTTTTACGTGCCAATCAATTTTCTGGGATCGATGAAAACATACGTATAACGGTGTTTGGAGTATTACGTCACTGTCTGGCATTATGACACGTGCAGGTAAATTAATCCCTCTATAATGAAGTTGATCAATCGGTAAACCTATAGACGCATGTTTTAATACGGGGATTGATAGGATAAATGAGCGTTTAATCGTGCAAAAGCCGATGCGTACTCGGTATCGGGTATGCTTTACGCAAAATTGCGCGTATTCGGAGCGTATATATTGTGTCTAGATATTCATGCATCGTGACTCAAAACTGTGTCTGACAGTTTGACATTTGTAATGTTTGACATGTGTAAAAGACTAAACGTAAAATTAAAAAAAATCTCTCTCTCTCTCTCTTTCTGTCTTGCGGCACACATGTCGACAATTTAGCTTTATGGAGGCTCTCGCGCACAGAAATTTATAATGGCGGCGAATCGGATATCCTCGCAGGAAGGACGGAGCAAATTGTATAATCACGTCGAAGATTCAAATGCAAATTGTACGAGAGACAGTGACTCTCTATTCCCAATAATACAATCTCTCCGAGAAACTCCCGGTTCGACGTATTGCACCACGTACATACACTTTCTCTCTCTCTCTCTCTCTTTCGTCTCGGTTCTCACGATAAAACACGATGACAGATTGTAGGGTGATGTTCATTACGCTTCGTATCGAAGATCGTTAGAATCTAGCGAGACGACGATTTATCCTCTTCGATCAGCGGGGCAATTAATGCGCACGCCAGGTTCGCGAGAGTCGCGGTGGTTCCGGTATCGTTTGCTCGCTCGCGCGGAGCCAACGGAGGTCTTCCAAGAGTCGGGACCTATCGAATATCACGCGGGGTCGGTTATCGGTTATCGATTACGCCGCGGGGGGCGTGCAGAACGAGTCCGACATACGCGAGGGAGATCCTTCACGCGACCGGGATGGCACGACCGGCGATAAATTATGGAGGGACTTGGTATTCCATACACGAGATCGAGAGAGGAGAGACCCTCCGTCCGTATACGTAAACCGTTGCACGCCACCGCCATTGATCCCGATCGTATTAACCGGACGGATGTAGCCAAGAGAGAGAGAGAGAGATTGCCCCCCCCCCCCCCTCCGGCATAACGCTGGGGGACGGCATTCGTGTATGAAGAGTGACGTACATTTTTCAGCGTATCTCCCCGTACTACTCCGTGCGCAATAAAACTCCGCTTTTAAATTTTTGATTCTCTACGTCCAAAAAAGGGTGAGAAATTATTCGTAAGATTTACTATATTTGGTTAAACCCTTTGTTATCTAATTCTCAATCGATATCGCGAAGGGATGTTTAAATAATTATAGTCGAAACTTCTTATTCGCGGATTCACTATTAGCGGAGTAAAAATTTGTAACCGCTCT